ACATCATAGTTACACATAGTGCCACTCTTCATATTTGGGTCTTCTTCTAAAAATTCTTATTTCAGTGTTATACTTGCACTTAAACTTAACTACAGGGCTCTGTATTTAATTATAACCTTCAAAGATTATAGAAGCAAATTAAATATTTGTCTTCAACCTAACTTGAATAGCTAACCTTGTCTATGAGGGTTTGAGAGCTTAACTGCTAAGCTATGGGATCCAAACTCTACTTTTAATAATTATTAAATTTACCTATATTTTATAATCAAACTTTAATTACTCTTAAATTAGTTTAATATAGAGATTTGTCTTTTGTAGTCTTCCAATTTGGTATATCTATTATTTGAATTCTAGTATTGCTATACAGATAGCCTTTTGTATACATATCTAAAGCTAGATTCTTGCTATTACTACTAGTTTTTATATAAGAAGTATTGGTATTATATGTTAAGCAAATCCTTCCACTTACACTTCTAAGTATTACTAATCTTATATCTTAAGCCAGGTTTCTGCTGCTACTACCAGTTTGTCTTTTCCAGGTCTGAATATTTCTTTAGTCATCTTGTATAGTATACTTCTTACTATCTTTTTAAATACTTACTAATATGATTTTATCAGGAACTTGATTTATAAGAATTCAGAGCAGTGGTAGAAGCAGTAAATATAACAAGGTTTATGGTAAAAGATTAGGCCTTATTAAAAATTTGAAACACTTCTGGTATTTGTGGAATGACTACAGAAGGCTACTCAGTATAAAGAATATAACCTACTCCTATATATCTAAAGAAACCAAATTAGGCTCTGGTTGTATCTATATAGATTTGGGATTTACCAGCATGAATGCTATGCAACTAGAAATAGCTAGAAGTGATAGGTTCTGCTATTATAAAGATCAACAACTGGAATATATAGCTGGTATATGCAGAGCAACTACAAGGCTTTTTACTAATAAATCAGGAACCACCCACTATCAGTTAAATACAAGAACGCCGAAGGATAAAGTAAAGCATGAATAAGTTTTGTAGGCATAGATTTGCGTAAATCGTAATCCCACCAGTTTTGAAAAGCACAGTTGTACAGAACCCTATCTTCATATTTTACCTCTAGTTACGCCTATCACAGAGAAAGTTTATTTGGAACTAACTTATCCCAAAAAATTTTGTCACCCATCTTTCCTAATCCCTCATAATTACTGTAGTGTTAAAGGTGTTATTACCAAAACCTTATTCACTAATTAAATTTTATTGTCATAATTAACATGGATTATAGTATTTGCTTCACTAGGTTAACTGAATCCATTGTAACGACATCTTTACAGAGGGATATAACTCAATGACATAAGCATTTTTGCACTAATAACAGATACCATCGATTGCTTACTGTGTTCGCTGGGCATTATCTACAGATTTCTACTCCCTTCTTTTCGGCCAATTAGAGCGCCTGATTATTTGCCTCTTATATGGGTGTGAGTCAGTAGAAACACACCAAATCTTTTTTAATAAAATTTTTTTGAATCTTTAAACAAAAATAACTCAACAAAAGCTTAACTAAATTTAATACAATTTTTATAAAAAAAATTTATTAAATTTGCGTAAATTATTGTTGAGTTATTTTTGTTCAAAGATTTAAAAAAATTTACTTAGTAAAAATTTGGTGCGTTTCTACTGACTCACCCCCATATATTGATGGGCAACTTCGTTATAAACTGCAAGTTTTATAATCCAGTATCATTTCGACAGTGAAGTGCTAATAGTGTGCATTATATAATATGCATAATATGGCTATGATATGTAATGTATTTTCTTAAAGTCTATAAACTATAATGCCACATTGCTGTGATTTAATTTGCAGTGTAGATTTATTAATATTAGGATTAAGTTAGAAAAACTGTAATATAGCAAATTGCGCGAAGAAAATTTTTTTGTCAGGACTTTAAAGATCAAACCTCTATTCTGGTTGATTTTAGTAATAATTATACCCTAACCCTAATTTATAGTTTACTAGCCTAAATTTTTAGATATTTATGATTTTACAAAGGAAGCATTTAAATTTTTTACATTACACCTGATCCTAATCATTAATTTGCCGATACATGTCGGAAAACTATTTGACATTAAAATCGATCATATGCCCTGTCATAATTCTATTATACTGTAATGCCATATTGCAATGAAAAATCAAGGACACATTAAAAGATTTGGAAAAGTCAATAAAGATTGCAAAAGGATGTGAGCAGCAGTGTTTCATTATGAAAACATGGCATTATAGAACGGCATTACAGCCAGTGTTTAAAATTTCGATTTTGTTTCAATATGCGGAAAAGCTTAATAATTTTTGTAAACATAATAAAAAATTCAAAAAAATATATATGTGACATATATGACACATAATAAAATCCGCAGATTCAAAGAAAATTTCGCTTGCGGAATTAATTTCAATCTGCGCACCGCAGATTCCGCATATAGATTTTAATCAATGTGATTTACGGTAATTCGAACCTTTATATATAATAACATTGATTTTTTCATAACTTATAACAATTACAAATACTTCTAAGCCTTATCACAGCCAACCAACAAAGCATTTCCAGTTTCTAATTATAGCGTAACTGCGTTGCGCATCTATTAAAAACCTTTTCCCTTTTAAGACGTCTTGGCAAATGTCATAAAATAGGAAATGATAATCGAGCAATTTTATTTGGAATTGGTGACAACTCAAATCATCAATCTACCCATATGATTTTCACGGATCAGATCGACCAATCAAATTTCAAGATCAGGTGTAACATTACACAGTAAGAAAATTCCAAACGTTCGTTTTGCCAAAAATCTCTTATAATTCAAACATTCGCATATGAAACAACCTTTCATGTTCTAGCAAAAAAAATTCCTTGTAAGATGTTACTATAAAATCACCTTTTATACTCACCCTAACCCTACCTAATGCTTACCCTAACCATAGAATAAAAAAAAACAGTTTAATTTGGCTGTTTTAATTTTACGTTACACCTGATCTTATGATACGGCAACATCGATTATGCAATGTATAAATTATCTCTTTTGTTTATTATTTGTATATTTTATTGATTAAATATACATAAAAATTTAAAAATATTTTCTTTTTGGGTTTTATAATTTATTGCACGTGCAATATATTGCACCCCATTTTATTAACCAATAAAATTTCAAAATTCGTAAATGGTAAACAGGATCAAAATTGGTGGTTTTATGTATTAAAAATAAAAATAATATGAAAAGGTAAAATCCGCATAGAGGTGATAACTTTCTTGATATCTACCTAATTAGAGCTAATGACTATTTTTTCGGTTCAGCTCACTTCACCGACACTTATTTCGTAGAAATAAAATTTCGCCGACCAAAATGTTATTTCACCGACATTTTATTTCGCCGAAACTTATTTCACCGACAATATTTCTGGTCATTGTCGTTAGAGTTAGGTTAGAATTAGAGTTGAGGTTAGTGGAATTTATAAAAAGAAATTGTATATGAAATGAACTTCGGTGAAATAAATTGTCGGTGAAATAAAATTGTCGGTGAAATAATTGTCGGTGAAATAAACTTGTCTGCGAAATAATTGTCAGTGAAATAAACAGGGTGAATTTTTGTCGGTGAAATGTTATGTCTACGAAATGAGTGTCGGTGAAATGATACGTATCCCTATTTATTAGGTGGGATCTGCATTAATAACGTGACTATTTTTGCGCGGGTTTCACCCTGTTGTAAAATAATTGTCGCAGATCATAATGAAATGAAGGGTTTCTATTAACCCCCCTGAAATCAATTATGCTTGATTATTATAAAATTTACATCTAAACCCTTATCCTAACTCCAAAAAAAATACACCCCAAAAAATTTGTATTTTCGGTAGCTTGTTTGTTTTACACTATCTCATTTCATTTTAATATGATTTTATTTTAATATGATTTCATTTTATTCTGTCACAATAATTACAGCAAAAAAAAGAAGCCCCAAAAGAAGTACCCTAAAAGAATTGCTTAAAATATATTTATTTCCAAAGTAATCTCTTTTTCTGAATAAAAAGGTGATGGGAAAAAATGAAGACCATCATTACGCATTGGTAACAATTACAGTCAAAAGAGCTTAATCATACAAATTTAAAGTTTTTTAATGAGAAAACACCTATGCCATGCGTATTGGAAGGGCCCATAACAATATTACAATTATTGTGATTAGAGAATCATAAAAAATCGAAAAAAGGTATTTATGTTGATAGAACTATTCTTTAAAAAAAAAATATTTATCATAAACTGAAAACAAGTAGGTTAAAAAAAAACATATTTGATATAATCGTAATGATTTGCAGTACACAGCATCTTATTGTTAAATTGCCTTAAGTAAAAGAGGTGTTACATAATGTCCAGTTTTGGATATGACAATCAATTTTAATCATCGTACGTACGTACATAAAATAAAAATAAATTTAACAAACTTCGTTAATGAATAAAATATTTATTGTAAAAAAGCATATAATTTTCATATATCATATATAAAAGGTAAGTCCAATAATCCCATAGTTTCGGATTATTCCATAAAATATTGTAAACAACTAATATATACACTGGCAGTGAGCAAGATTTTGTTTTAATCCGATGGGATCCTCCAACGTAAGGAACATGTTTTGTATTCCATTGATTGGAGACGGGGTAAGGAACATGTTTTGTATTCCATTGATGGGAGACGGGGTGGGAATGATTCTTTGAGGAGAGGGAGGACGAGGCGGATCGGATGAGATTGGAGACATAGACTTTTCTCGCTTTCTCTTCTGATTTCTAGAATCTTTTTTCTTTTTTTTTATCCTATCAGGCCGGTATTCCTTAAACAATGTCCGCTTTTGGGGGCAGTAGCGGTAATCTAAGATAGAATAAATGTTTAGATAAACAGATCATAATCTATTTTAGTTAAAATTATTGTATTCACTTACTTGGGAATACTGATTTGTGAATGTCCAAGGCCTCCCGGCTAAGCGCCTCATATCGAGAACGAACGCAGTCCGGTGCTTGCTCCCAAAGCTGGGATGCCAGTGAGCAAACAGATGGCATCTGCAATCTGTCTGCACCTTCTTGACGAAGAGCCTAATGAAAATCATCATACATATTAGATCAATATAATTTTTTTTTTTTATATAAAATCTTTTGAAAAAAAAATAAATATTTGACTTACAAGAAGGCAAGCATTTTTAAATAAAAAAAAGCTATTTGGCACCCTCGGGGGACCACCGTTTTTCCGAGTAAAAAACTCGGTTGACTCGGTAGCCTTTGTTGAAATGAGTTGCGTTAATTCAAACGCACAATTGTAAACAGAGCTGAGATCACAATTGTAAACCGAGCTGAAGTCTATGTCAGTAGCCATCATATTTTTTTTTTTTGAAGTCTGAAGAAAACTTAGTGTTTTGAGGGTTTAAATAAATTTTATCAAATTATAAAATTTATTTTTAGATATTAAAGAAAGAAATGAAATAAGGAGGGAAATGACTTCTTCTTTTTTCTTGACACTGAAGTGGAAATTATTGAATGTTTAAATGGAAGGTTAGATCATGTTTACATGTCAGCAAAAACTTTGCAAAATATTTATTTATTTATTTTTAACAACATTATATTGCTTGTTATATGCATTGTACATTGATCGTAACATACACAAACATGCATTACTATATGAGTTATTTTAAAACCATATGATATCCTGACGATAATTGTGTACAAAAGAAATGATTATATTAACTAAACTGTGCATAAAGAACGATTATAAAGATTAATAGAATTTATCGATAATGCAATATTATAGTTCTTTTCCAACAATCTATTTTATGATATTCTGTTTTGAATTATAAGAGAAGTGGGTAATGACGAATTCTGATGAATGAATGAATTTCGGGAAAATTGATTTATTCACATGTTTATTTTTATATTGGTCACAAGTGCAAATTTGCATTCTTTTTTAGTTATTCACTTATGTTGATTGTATGATTGATTGTATGAAAATTAAAGATTAAATTAAACCACTAAAAAAAAAAACGCATTTACATAGATATATTAATATATATAAGTACGTATCAATATCCTGTTACTAAATTATGTATGTGTAACAAGTTTAAACAATCGGATAATCCCTCCGATCCTGATTATAATCGGATATTCCGTATTTGTCGGCAAAAAGAGCTCTCGTACTTAAAGATCGGAAGATGGTTTTCATAATAATATTTTAAGATAACTTGAACATCGAAGTCCCAGCGTTACTACCAATCGAGGATGCAGTCACATGATATTCTGGCCTCACAATTCTCCGGAAGTTTTGAATTCCAAATTTTTTCAACCATTATTTTCGTGCTCTTATCAATCCTTTATTTTTTATGAAAGAAAAAAAATTGTAATTAACTTATAATGAACCGACAGTTCTTATATCAAAAATTTTTAAAGTTCATTATAGAAGTAATTTCTATACTTCTATAGAACTCTAATAAATTGTTAAAAAGTTCATTATAGAGTGGATTCATTATGAAAAGATTCTTTAAAGAAATGAAATATTGCATACAGTTGCATCAAGATAAAATGAGATCAGGTGATCAGATTCAGTGATGGGACTACGGATGTAAAAAAATAATTATACTTAATTGTCACATTTAATATTTTATTAAGGATCAAAAATTTTTTTTTGACAGATCACAGTGTATGACATTTTAATTTTTAGCGTCTCGCCCATCAGATTATCACGTGACTGCTCTCTCGATTGGTTGAACATCTCGGTTTTCGCCGTTGGTTTGTTACACAAAGATCTCCGATATTGATTCTCCGAGCCTATGCAATCGAGTGTGTAACGATTTACCAATTTAGTACGTTAACTATAATTTTGCTAATTATTAAATGCGTATTCAGAAATTTATAAAAAAAGAAAAAAGTTTACATTTTCGGTATACACCAAGCCACGTCAGATCCGTGAAGAAAATGAATATTTATTTCAGGTAATGTGATTTTTTTTATACAAAGAAAACCGCAATAAAATTTTATTCCTTTTCTGGACCTAATTTAATTTTATTATAACCTAGAAATGATAGTGATATTCCTTACAGTTACTCAAAAAATATCACGCAATATATCACAAATGACCGTTTTTTTTGAGGCCAAAAAGAGGTATGTAAGCCAATCATAAAAAATTGCAGGTTCGTTGTTCACCTGGAACAATACTTGATCATGCATTTTATCGGAATTTTCTGTTCCGTGAATGAACGAGAATCGATTTTAGTAAATTGATTGCTATACGACTTTTTGTCTTTCTTTGGAGTTGAGAATGTTTGCAATCCTGAATCTATTATGAATTACTCAAGACAATAATAGATTGCTCACTTGTCTCAAATGTCTTTCATGCATCACTGAAAAATTCTATTTTTCATAGCATATATAGCATTAGGATGGATGATCTTTAATACAGCAAACAAGAATAATTTTTTAGCATTATCAAATAGTGCATACATTCAATGTAGTATTTACAATATAGTACATACAATATAGTTAGTATATACGATATAGTTTATACAATATAGTATATACGATATAGTATATACAAATAACTCATTTATCCAGTAACATTTCAATAGGCACGTGTTTCATTTGTGTGTCTAATAAGCATATGTTATTATCCACTTATGTGGATAATAACCGTTTTATTCCCAGGTTCTTATTATATACTATTTTTTCAAATTGTATTTCATAAAGTTTAGCTTTACTACAATCACAAAACTTATTTTATTTTTCTTCTGCTTTCTTTTTTTTTAGCTGATGACTTTTACTTTTCGTTAAAAAGATATATAATCAAAAAGAAATATAGAACTCCGGATTACCCGAATCGGAGATCTGGGCAATAAACGACATTTCATTTCATGTAAAATTTTTTTCATGATATTTTTTGCATGAAATTACGTAATCAGTTTTGCAAAATATCACGGAAAAACTTCACATGGTTATATTAACTATTGGACAAATTACAAGAATTTTTTTCGTCGGAGTTAATTTCACTCCGTATGCTGCATAGCAGCACATGAGCAAAATTAACCTGTTTGCCCAATATTATCTACATAATTGATTATATTTGTTAAAGATACACATTATACAATGTAATCCTACTGTATCGACAACTTTATTATTCATATTAAACATTTAGTTAATTCAATAATACTTCTTTGATCATTCTTTTTTTCTACTACTATTAATAAAATATAGAGTGCGGATAACTGGAAACTTTAATTTTGTGATACATGTTTCCATGTCAAATTACATGGTTGGATAGTAAATATAGTAAAATGAAATCGTCTTTTAAACTAGTGAATATAATGATGATATATATTTGTCAAGTGGATCTTCGTTGTGCAGGCGGAGAAAAAATATATTAAATATTCCCGTGTTAAGTCATGGAATTTTTAAATTTTGATCACTAACTACGATTTATAATTATCACAAATAAACAAATACTTTATTGATGGAACTTGAAGTCCGACAGTTCGTATTTATTTTTTTTCTTTCCTGCTAAAACTCCCTCCTTTTTTGTTTAAGATCGCTTGTTAAACGGGGGACAAGCAATTAAACATGATTACTTGATGCAGGTGTATAGATCATATGACACTGTTAATTTACACGACATGTTTACAAACAAATCTAGATTTTTGATAATGTACAAATTACTTTGTTAAAAAACAATTGCTTTTTTTTTCTCTCTTCCCATCCAATTCACTATTTTTTTGAATTTCATCAATAAACCTTATCAAATCCATCATTTTTATTATTTTTAATTGATTGATGGAATTATATATATATATATAAACTTTCATACTAGTATAATTTTTTTCGTATTATTCTGTTTTTTTTTAAACCACATGACGTAATCATCAGAAGACGTCTTATGATGTTATCACATTATTCTATTTTTATCACAAATATTTATAGGATTTTTTTGTTTTCGTTTATGATTTCCTCTTTTAAGAAATTACTCTTACGGTTTTAATACTTATCGTTATATCATATTATATAATGTATACAGTATATTCATATATAAATTTCGTATATTATTCAATTTTCAAGTTTACAGTATTTTTTTTTAATTATAAATTATTATAGGTTACCAAATTTGTTTCATTCCTGAATGAATGGAATAAATTGAAATGAATTGACTATTTAATTATAATTTTCATGTCAGCAAAATTCGAAAATGTAACCTCGTTCATGCTAATATTAGAATTTTAAGTAATGCAATTCCAAATGTGTTAAATGCATTATTAGGTTTAAGAACGGCGTAACGGTAATGTTCTGAGATGACATGTTAAATCCTAGCAATTATTGCAACATGTCAAGATAACTTTAATCAATTGGTTGGTATGTTTTAATTTGAATACCTTGGCCTTGGCTACTTTGGTTACTTTGGTTGTTTGGTCTATTTGCTTGTTTTGGTTACTCTGGTTATTTTTACTATTTTTTTATTTTGATTGTTTTGTTCGACTGGTACAAGTTCTTCTATAATATTGGCTAGTTGAGATAAATTCGTTACTGCTATATTGTTGTTGAAATTGAAATCGTTGAAATCGTTTTGGTTATTCGAGTTTAGCTGCGTAAAGTTAACTGGCAATAAGTAAGTTTTTGTTTGCTTTCTTCGCAGTCTCAAAGCTAGCAGGAACGTAGAATGAAATGACATTATATCCCGATTTTCGCTTTATGCGCATAATGACTTGGTTATTGTTTCATTTCTATACTTAAATACCTCTTTCACAAGTCGTTTATAATAAGTTTGGACTTCTTTTTGCTCCATTTCCCAGGATTGAGACGCGAGTGATGATATCACTGTCATTGGTAAATAATACATTCATTTCGTGCTGATTCTAAAAATACATTTCTGTAAATAATAAGTGCATTGGAAATCTTGGTATTTTATTTCTGTTGGATTTATAAAAAACTAGATCCTTAACATCGATCGAAGGTAGAAATGAAATATTACTTTAAAAATACCGGTCTCGTCAACGAACTGACGAATATTATTGATTTGACATTGATTTGATTCGTTCATCCTCTTTGATTTTAATTTCGTTTGATATTAAATAAATTTACTAATTCTTACATAGACTCTTATAAGCCTCGAAGTCACAGGTAAGTTCGATATACTAACTAATACAAATTTAATTTGAAACACAACATGTGCATAATTATGCTGTCATATACGATGCTTTTTGATCAACAATCTAAATTTTACTACATTTTATTTATTATAAGTTAACATCAACAATTATTTCCTTAAAGTTAGCCCTAAGATTTAGAGCTAGATAAAACAGAGCATTGGGAAGTATTTGCCAGTAATAATAGTGTTAATGAACTACTTAC